CATTTTACATAAATTACGAGAAGTGTAATCACAATATAATAAATTAATACTAACAAATTGTGGCAATTAATTATTACTACTGGTATCAAACAGAAATAATAGAGATATATATCCCAAATAAATTGCAATAAAATATTCATGATTGGAATAGAATTAGCGATAGAATATGTATTTTGATAAAAAAATTAATTTAAAGAATATTGATTATTGTTGAATAAAAAACTACGTATCACCGAATTAAATAAGACATCTCACAACGATTGCTTGTGGTTCTTCTTCATTATACGTTTGCTAAAAACTTTTCGTTCACGCGAGTTTGATTTCGTTGTATCGACGCATAGTTCGCTACACAAAACGGGGTAATGTAACGCGGGGGTTTAGGGGAATACAAGAGAGAGAATACAGCGGAATGAGGAGAGGAACTCCGGTAGCGTGCAGTCTATCAGAGATTAGCGGCTCGATCCATTAGGGAGTGATTTAGCTCGACGGTCCCCGAGCACTCTCTGCCACCGTTCAGACAGTGCCATACTAGCCACACCATGCTTCCACGCGTCGCCACACCATCACCATTGACACTAACACAAATCTCATATATGAAGGTGCATATCCGTGAGATTGCATGCTTGATATTGTATACACATACATATATAACGGACACAGGCTTCTTCCCATATTATAAAATTTATTTATTATAAGAAGTATTATTTATATATTTTATAATTTATTTTGAATTGGGAAATTTAAAGAAAAAATTGCTTTGAATATTAAAACTAATAGATATATAGAAATACGCATACAGATCTAAGTATTTTGCCACACAAAAGACAATAAATCTTTTTCTTGTATATTATTTGTAGTAAAAATGATATTAATGGCTATTGGTTCAAAAGAGTAAAGAATAAAATTTAGTACAAAATAGACTGACTAATCAAGAAAATAAATGTGTATTGTGTGTACGTATGTGTGTGTGTATAAAGAGAGAGAGCGAGAGATGCGAAGCTTGGTCCCAAGGGCGCGATATGTCGTATCTAATTACAATAGCCTACGCTTCTCTCTATCCAAATACAAATAGTGAAGCTAATGCTTACCATCACACGGACCGAAACACGGATTGCCGGATCGCACCTTACATCGCTCTGTCAATATCTGTCGATATTGCTGGCCGTTAGGAGTCCGGTCGTATCTACTGCTGCCAGAGCGGTCGATTGCTCGCAACAGCAAAACGAATAATAGCTCGCTCCCATTCTGTAGGCTGATTTACACCAGTCCCCATTTACTAGAGTTTTTTGCCATTTTTTGGTGTTTAAAACGTATGGACTTTATCTCGAACATAAATTGATCATAAAGAACAAAAAAAAGAGAAATTATTACTTCGGTATGTGTGTCCTATTCAATTAAGAATTGAAACAATTTCTCTATATTTTATCTACAAAGTTGAAACATATATGATAATATATAAAAAATAGATAATGGTTAGTGAAATGATACTAGAAGAAAGATAGAAATAATTATATTTGTGTGTTAGTAAACATGAAATTTGTTCTAGAACTTATAGTCGAATATATTGAGATATATATATATATATATATATAATATCAATATATACAGATATGTATTACCTATATAATATTTTAATAAAAATACAAAATTATAAAAATAAAAATTATTAAGATTGAAATAGTAAATTTAGAAGATATAAAATTTTACATCTGTGACAAGTATTAACGACATCTAAAAGCATAAATTTGTTTTAAAATTGCTATATGTTTTGTATGTATAAATATGATACTATATACATATTATATTTGATATGTACGTACGTTACGTATATATATATATATATATATATATATATATATATATATATATATATATATATATATATATATATATGTATATATATATACTTCAACAACATATAAACTCTTTGTCATGGTTATTATTGAGCCTGTGAATATTATTGTGCGAGGGAGAATTTAATTTTAGTCTCATCGTTTAGAGCATAAACGTGTGAATGTAAATATATATATTATATATATATATATATATATATATATATATGTATATATGGTATAACTTTAGTTAATTATTTTCGTAAACATATGCTGTTATAAATTGCAATATGTTGCCCGCAGCAGGAAGCATTTTATCGTACATTCGCATTGGCTACAAAGCGAAAATCGAGTAATCCGCAAGTTATAATAAAAAAATATATTACGCTATAGTTTGAAACAGCATTTCAACCGACAGACAATGAAGCTGAGATAGGTAGGAATAACAGGAATATAGGTAGGCAGAGGGTTCCTTTTGAAATGAAAGCCAATTTTCATTGTCCAATTAATGGACGTGCAAACGAATGGCGCCAAATATCGCATATTTTCCGGATAATATGCACAGCCCTCGTAAATAATAACAGCTACTTTCATATAAAAATGGGCATGGAGATAAAAGCTTATTATGTAGTACTTTTAAAAGTTGTAAGTAAAAGAAGAGTTGCTTTATAAATTTAATTAAAATGTAACGTTACATAAACTACATGACACATTTCACTGATATATATTTGAAAAAAATCTTTATAGTTTAAAATCATGAATAAATAAGATGAGAATCGTCATTATCATGTTTCGTATTACGAAAATATTTATTTCCTTATTTCTATTTTTACTTCTTATGACTTTCATCATCATTAAATGTAAAAAATGTCATTGTTTTTCTAAAAAAAATTGAAAACTAATAGAATCCCGTTAAACAAGTTAGCGATCATTTTTGAGCTTTTAACTCGTGAAATTGGACGTCCGTTCTGACGTCCAGTTCTAGATGCTGTCTATCGTGCGATCATGAGTTTCCTCAGCATTAAACAGTCTTAAGATATTGCAGAAAATTGTAGAGAATTTAACACTCTGTTTCAACAAATACGATTTCAACGTGGCGATTTTGAGAATTAAATTTTAGCAAAAATTCAAAAATATATAATATATATAATGCACGAGCTGATTATTGAATATTACAGTATTTATTTAGTAATCGCATTTAAAACTCGCACTATTTGTTAATTAATTCTCACACATATCTATATATTAGCACACAGATATATATTCTTTTTTTCTAATTGAATTAAATAAATTTTAATTTTTCATATATTGTGTCTGCATAAACAATTATACAAAAAATTTTGATCATAATTGAGGACAGAAATAAAACTATCAATAGAGTAATTTCTAAGTCGCATCGTGCAAGTTTATACGAGTATATCCACGTTGATAAAATTGCACATGCGAGAAAGTTTTCCGTTAGCGCTTTAAATTATTTTTCCGTTTTACATATGCAATTCTACGAGCCCGGATATATAATTCTGCCACGGCACGATCTTAGGAATTATTCTATTGATAGAGTTATTTCTGTTCTCTCAATTATGATAAATAGTTTCAAAATTTTTAAATACTTGTTATGCAGACATAATACACAAAAATAAAAATTTGTCCTATTTAATTAGAGAAAATATAATGTGCGCTGATAGATTTGAGAATATAAGAATTAATTAACAAATAGCGTGAATTTTAAAAATGCGATTACTAAATAAGTACTGTAACTCAATAATCAGTTCGTATTTTTGAAACTTCAAAATTTTACTGTCTTGCGACCATCAGAGTTGCCTAGCTAAATGAGGTGGGAGGACAACCAATTACGACCAAGAGCAATTAACGCAAAAGTTACAATAAGTAATTAGTACCTCCGCAAGTACCTGCTTGTAATTAACTTACGTACGTTTTCCCATTATCACCTATTTTTCATATTAAGTCAGCGTTGGTTCCTGGCGCGATGCTAATTTTGTTAGACAGTGGACAAAAAAAAAAGAAAAAAGAATTGAAATGATAAAATTTCAGACTCTCTGCTGCATCCCTCGTTGTAGATTGAAAAGAATTACATTCTCTTTAAATGCAAAACGTAAAAATGTTCAGTAAAAATATGGAGTCTTTTGTATCCACTATAATTCATCTTTTGTTTAAATTGCAAAATTTGATGATGTAACCAAAGTGCTAATTAAGAAAAACTCTTTTTGATTTCAGTTTAGATAAATATATAACTATATTATATCTACAGACGTTGTAGATTTACATTACTTATATATTCTTGTATGTAATATATAAGTATATTATTCTATGTTTTCTAAATGTTCAAGAAATATATAATAATTAAAGTTTGACATTTATTTTTGATAAAGATATAGCTTATCCAAAACAACGTGTGACGTTAACAAAAGCAATCCTCAAAAAATTAGTCTAAAGTCTTCTACCGCTAATTTTGCCATGTCATGTATTCATTTCGTATTCTCTCATTAATTTATCAAATATTATCAAAATTTTTAATAGAACGCAATGCCACATAATTGTGATAATAATAAAATACGCACACGTTCAGCTTAAATGCGGTCCATTTTTTGATTGTAATTTTGTCAATACTTGTCATCGTAACTCTTCATCCTTTTATAGCGTAACCATATAAAGCTGTCGCATTAATGTCACGGGTACGGCAATAGGAATCCGAGCCAAGAAAATAAAAAAGAAAGCAGGACCCTGGATTTATTCTCCCGTTCGTGAGGCTCGATGAGTGGCTTTAAATCACAGTAGGATTTTACCTCTGTCCATCATTCCGGGAGGTCTAGGGATGTTTTTCTGTATATCTTTCAGATATTGGGTATTATTTAGCTTACATCTTTTGTACGTTTTAATATAATTTTTGTACGCTCTTAATAAAAAGCTTTTTTTTACTGATATTGTGTAAATATGTTGACAGATTTCAATATTTTAGTTTAAAACATTTATTGATCTGAAAAAATAAAGTTTTGTGGAAAGAGCACACGATTATAATGTATAATTAGGATTATATAATCATATTTTTAGGTATATTTTAAAGTATATTTTTTGCGATGTTTTAATACTCTTTTCTGTAGTTGTACTTATGTTTTCAAATATAAATTAAAATTTCTGTTATTATTTTAGCCTGGAAACGATCCCTACGCATTTGTGGAGTACGAAGATCACACAGCAGCTTCCGCGGCGTTGACAACCCTTAATCAGCGACTTTTTCTAGAGAAGGTAAGTGTTGCAGCTGTATCATCGCATCCGCTTTCTTCATTTTTAAACTGTCTTTCCTCTTTTAATTTATTGTCAGAAAAATAATTTAATTTTTTTATTTTTATTATTTTGTAAAGTATTTAAGACACGATGGAAAATAATAGACCACAAAAGAGTCGTAAGTTACAAACATAATCGTAAACTCTATCGACGTGCAGAATAGAACGGAATGCGTTTGACCATACTCCTCCTCTCTTAGAGCTTTCGTCTTTCCTCTCACGTCCCCCGTCTTCCTGCGTCATATTCGAACTCCATGTGCAGTTAAAGTTCGCCGGTTGACGGTTACCACCTAGTGTTCGCGGGAAACGTCGACGGCGGTTGCGAGTGAATCAACGACGGTAGCGCGAGCGCGTGGGGACGAAGTCTGCGGTCGGGGACGAAGCGGAGTCGTGGGGTCGTCCGCTAGAGGTTGAGAGAAGGTATTGGGATCCGGCTGGAATAGCTAATGCTCGAATATGTCATAGTTTGGTGGGATGTGGTCAGATTATACATGCTACACGATATATACGCCAAGTTACTTCATTCTCTCGCTCTCTCTCTCTCTCTCCTTTATTGCTCTCCCTATTACCATGCACCTCTCGCAGCCCGCTTCTTCTTCTTCTCCCGCTCTTATTCCGTTTCTCCCATCTTCCTTTCCGTTCCTCGTGCCTACCTCCTTCGTCATCCTCCACGAGGTCCTTTCTGACCTCGCTTCTCTCTCTCGCTCGCGGCTTCTCGCGGCCTCGATTTCATATACACCACCACATCGCCATCAACACCCTCCAATTCCGCCATCCTGCTAGGACGTATATCGCAGCCCGTAACGTAGAGAGTTACTCGGTTAGTTTAGATTCGCTCAAGCAAGTTTTGATGTCGTGCACGCCTACTCCACGATCCTCTCGACTGCCTATCCTCCTCTAGCCACCGCGAACACTCTTCGAGAAACCTACTAGCTTCCAACCTCAGTCACTCTCTAGCGTTTCCTCGCAGGTAAGTTTCCTCTCTACATCTTCGCACACACCACACACATACATATACATGTATACGTGTCAGTCTTTCTCTCTTACTCTCTCGATTCGCTTTCTGTCCCTCTTTTCCTCCGTCTTCCGCGTACTTCTCCAAAGAACCGTCGAGTTCGCTATTACCGCCGACACATTACTAATGCCGAACCGGTCGTAATAGATTGGATGCCTGGAACTTTGGTATGTCAACTAATGTGGCAGACTAACCCCTTTCACTCGTCCATTCTCCTCTTTTCGTCTCCCCTTGCTCTGCGCACCGACTGTCACTCGTTTCTGCGTATACGTCGCGCTTCAACGAGCGTAAGTGGAGCACGTGGTAGCTAAACTTTCTTGAAAAATAATTGCTCTTGATGATTTCTCATTTGCATTCAAATGGATAAATGTGACAAAAGAGATAGACGCTTCTTTCGCTCTTTTGTCATTTAAAACTTCACAGATATCAAACGAACGCTTAAAAGACGGCGTTAATATTGTATATGTAGGATCCGCGAAAAAGAATCGGGCCTTCGGGGTTTCGACTGCTCTAACCATTAAGCTATCTAGGCCCTCTGTCCAACCTTCTCCGCATCACCTACTTATGCGTTATGGAGAAGATACTACACTCGGCCGTCCTGAATTGACATTCGCCCTCGAATGTCGCCACGCGTTAGTGCCATCAGGCCTCTTTCCCAGCCGACACCCGCAAACCGTCTCTAACATCGTTTTGCCTCGTGTAGACCGAATCCTGCCTCCATCCCGGACGAGCCCCCAAATGTGGGATCCGCGAAAAAAAATCGGGTCTTCCGCTTGCCGGGCGACTGCTCTAACCATTAAGCTACCTAATCTTCTCCGCATCACCCACTCATGCGTTATGGAGGAATCCCGATACTACATATAATTAATCATAAAATTATATTTGATTAGATTGAGTGAAGAAATTTACTTAGATTGAGTTAATTTCCCGGAGCTCGCCGTTCTTCACGACCGCGATAATCGCAGAAACAATCTTCCTTTCGTGCTTCGACTAGACTTCTTATTTCCCATTAGGACCTCGCGAGATTTCTAACGTAAAAAATAAAATTCTTACAAGCCTCGCGCCAGGCAACCTGGCTGAAAGGAATTCGGAAGTAAGTCGGGGAGGCAGAAGTTTGGCCAAAAGAAGAATTTCTTATGCACAGCGAAGTACACCTATTCCGCATTGCGGTCCTAAGCGTGCAGCCGAGCGGCGCGATCGCTAAGGAAAGCGCGCCGGCATTTCGCCATGTAACGAGGGGAATTAACCCCCAAGTTTAAGCGCGATACAGCCACCGACTTTACTTTACTTACCTACCCGCGTGTCCCATACCCACTACCGAATGTACCGCCTCCCACTCTCATTCCTCCAACGCTCTGTCGTTACTGTTTCCTCCCCGTCTTCCGCAAGCCTTCCCTATATATATGTGTGTATATATCTACAGAATAGTAGTCTCTGCATCGCTCGTTAGCTCGAATTATACTTGCACGTGACTCTACGCCGGAAACGCTTTACCGGGCGCGATCGTGCGTGGGAGAGTAATTCCTCGGTCCGGTGTTATTAATACGATGCGCCTCGTTTCTCAATCTACAGCATTTAATCCCGCATTGCATCGCGAGGTATTTTAGTTAATGTGTGACCGTAGCGCGCCCGCGGACTGATGTAGGGGCCTTTGTGTAAACGACATTACAGCTGCAACGCGAATAGCCCTGCTGTTTACCTCATTGTATTCGATTACGATGCCGGAGGTAATTAGCTCCGGCGGTAATGGTAATCGATACCGATAGTATCAATTACCCACGCGTGGGCGAAACATTTGTCTTTCTTGCTGGTAATGTATCGAAACGTCGATTGCTCGGGAACTTTACACCGTAATGTACCGGCTGTAAATAGCTTCCAAGTACTAAGGAAGATGTAAATTCTCTCCCGACTGTTTGCGGAGACTTATTGGCTGTCACGCTGATGTTTGTAACTTTCACTCATAGCTCGGAGTTATGATGTATTGTTTGTTAATGGTCTCTAGTGGCGTTTCAATTATTATAATTTCATCATTATCGCGTAAAATAAATGCAGCGCATACAATCATGATTTTCTTCTGATTTACTAATGCACAAAATCGCATTGCAAGCAATATTTATAACGTGATTATACACGTTCTTAATTTATAAATTGTATAATCAATAAAAAATTATTATCGATTATAATATATTAAATATTATTATTGATAATATATTAAATAATATGATAAAATTTGCGCTTGTTATTTTTAACGTATCTAATTGTTTCTTGTATTTACAAGGTAGAAATATGAATTGCTCTGTAATATAGCTACACCTAACTGTGTGCCAACAAATGTGTTCTCAGCTATATATAATTCGTATAGTGACATAGCAAACATTGGTATGAAATGACGAATAGATGGTTTCCCAATTCTATGCTGTGATGTGATCACAGCAACGGACGCAGATGGTAAGAGGGGGGACAGTAAGGTATATATGGTCTCGTAACTTTAGCTTGGCTTCGCTCTCCACCTTGTTTATGGATATCATCGTTGTCTTGTTTGCGAGTGATATAGTGTATCAGCTGAAGGAGAATTCTGAATACGAGCTTGGTTGACAATTGCACCAATCTCTTAACAAGAGCAATCGAGGATACAGTATCGAGGATATTGATACTCTAGTTTAAATACAGATCCACGAAATGCGCGGAATATTCTAGCAAATTGATTATATCTTCAAGAAATGTTGTCACGAAACCTTACTTATTTATATCTTTTTTTCAATTCATGTTTTAGCAAATATTTCACTAAAAATGTGTTATAAAAATTTTTAATAAAATATTGTAAAATAATAATCATGAGTATCAACTTTTCTTATACTGAAACAATTTAATTGCGCGATTAAAGATAAAAGTAATGTTTTATTTTGCTGCTAATGTTTCTCTATTCAACTTCAAGTCAAAGCTATGTTATGTTTTCGACGAAAGAAACAATCTAGGGTAGCGCTTCTACTCTTTCGGAACAATGCGTTCAAAAAGAAACGCGGGGAGAAGCGTGTTTACTGGCATTACACTCTTTGTACTCAATAGCTGGTGATATAATGGTTGACAATCAGTGTTAACGTTTTGACAGAGAATGTGTCGAAATTATGAATGGTAGAAGCCAACTACTGTGGATGGATGAGCATTGTATCACGCGTCATATTTGCAATGTTTTGTCTCCTCGGTTATTCTCGAAAATTTGTCAGCCATTTCCTAGTTCATTCCTCAATTCACGAAACCGATAAAAATTTAACTATTTAAATAATATATTTTATTATATATATTATATATTATATTATTATATTATATTATTATATTGTTATATATATAAACATGCATTGTCTTTTATCAGTCAAAGCGTATCGTTATAAATGCTGTCTTCTAAGCCGGGCAATAGAGCCAAGGAAACGAAACGAAAAATATTACGGAACTGTACAATTTTCGATTACATACATATGGAGAAATAAGCTTAAGAGAAATTTCTCGCTTATTTCTCCATATGTAAGTTACGAAATTAATTATATGTGAACTTTGGGATCTCTGAGATACAGTTCCGTTTAATTAATTTTTCGTTTCGTTTCGTTTCTTGGCTTATCGGCTTAGAAGACGTATCGCCATTCTGTATAAATAGTAGTATCAAACAAAGAAATAGAGAAGGAAAAGCACAAGGAATGAATGGATTTCCGAAAGCGTATACTTCCAAACGTGGGAAGATACGTCAACTATGAATATCGACGAGACGTAGATATGAGTCGCAGAAACGGAAATCAGTTGGGAGTACCAAGTTACGATTGAGATTTAAGTTATTGACAAGCTACTTTGGCGAATCTCCACTGAGATCTGACTGGTTTATCCCGGAGGCCCACTGCCTTTTGATTTCCCCCAGGACTCAACCCTTGAGATTCCATTCTTCTGCCCACAATGAGGCC